CAGAGTCTCCTGAAACACGGTGCAGGGCAGCTTAGGGCACTGCTTGCTGGGCCAGCCCCGGCCTGGAGCTGTCGCCCCTGCTCCCACCAGGAGAGGCAGCGTCTGCACTGCAAGTCCTAGAACCAGAGAAGCATCCAGACTCACCCAGAGGCTTCCAGGCCAGTGGTTCTCAAACTTTCCATCCAAAGACCACTTCTGTGGGCAAAAGACCTTGTGGGCAGCCATCCCACCTTGCACGCAGCTGACCCCAGAGTCCCAGAACATCCCAGCCCTGAGCCGCTCTGATTCATCTCAGCAGAGCAGCAACAGGGAGTAACGCAGAAGGGCTGGCATACCCTTGGGGGAGCGTGCCCAGCCTTTCTCCCATGCCTACCTCCCCGGGACCAACTCCTCAGGGAGGTCGGCCCACCCAGGGAATCTCCGCCAGGAGAGCAAGTTCCCAGGGAACTTGACCTGCACCGCCTCTTCTCTTATTCAGGAGGGACCCCTCCCACCAGAACCAGTCGATCCCACTCCAATGTTTGGGACTAACAGGGGCCCAGTGCAGCCAGGGGTCCTTGGGAGCTAGAAGAAAATGTCACATTGTCCAGCAGCTGCATGACTTTGGGCCGAGACTCTCTGAGCCTCAGTTTCCTTACCCATAAAATGGGTATGATTATAGCATCCATTTTACTAGCGAATATGCACACATAGGCCTGGCACAGAGAAGGCCCTCAAGGAGCATCATTTCCCTCCCTGCCCCCTTTCCTTTACATCTGTGGTTCTCAAAGTGTGTTCCACAGACAGCATGCTGGTGGCCCCACACTTCAGGCCAGCCTCAGAGCCACCAGCATGCTGACTGTGGAACACACTTTGAGAACCACGGATGGAGCTCTTCCTCGCACCAATTCTCAGAGGAAGGGGCCTTCACACAGAGGAGGCAGGGGAGGCAGGGGAGTGGGTCTGATCAGCCGGCCTCGATCTCTCTATATCAGGGGAGCAGGGGCCACTTCTGGAGGTTCCCCTGCCACAGGCAGGTGGCAGTGCCTGCCAGCTTGTCCCCTTAGACAGGGGCAGCTGAACTGGGTGCCCCCCTGTCTGGCCCTTCCTGGTAGTAGAGACGTGTTTTGTGGACCAGGTGATAAAACCCTCACACCAGCCTCCTCGCCCAGCACCTCTCCATCTGTCCCTCTCTGCCTCCGAGCCCCTCTTCTATTTCCCATCTTCCCTTCCCCTCCCCAGCCCTGCTCCACCTGCTCGGCCTTCCTTTCTGTCTCTCTCCCCACTTCCCTCTGGTCTTTCTCACACACACACACACCCTCTCTATTTCTCTCTCTGATTCTGGCTCTCTTTCTAATTGCTGCTTCTCTACTCCCTTGTCAGTCAGCATCCACCCCCTCCTGGGCTGTGAGCCCCCCGGGCCCCCGGAGGCCCCTCTCCCACACCCAGCTGGTCTGGTGGTTAATCAGCTGCTGGGACCCCAGCCCCTGGGAGCCCTCCGCAAGCTCTGCTCACTCAGCCCGGTGCTCATCTTCCGGAAGCACCTGCAGGCTGTACCCCAAGCCCAGCTCCCTCCCCTGTCCCGGTGGGTAAGGACCCTCCCTCTTACCAGGAGAGGAGAGGGGAGGAGTGGGGAGGGTCTGCGTGAGGCCAGCCGAAAGCAGAGGCCAGAGCGGAGGCTGGAGGCTGGCCGCTGCAGCTGGTGAGCACACGCAGAAAGTGAGGATTCGCTAAAGCTACTCTGAGGAGGCTGAGAGGAGGCCGACATCCAGCAGTGGGAGCCGTGGAGGGGAAGGGGGTGAGGGGATGGGAGAAGGGAGGAGCGGGGGACAGAGGAGGGTGAGTGGTGAGAAGAAACCAGGCCAGAGAGAGGAAGGGAAGGGAAAGTGCCCCGCCCCTCTGACTCCTGTTAACAGCCCCTACCTCTAGGCCCCATGCTGCTCACAAAGTCCCGGGAGCCACTGAGGCTCCAGCCTGGATGGGAGCAGGGCCAGCTGCAGAGTGGCCCAAAGTGCCTGAGTCCTTGCGGAGGGACCGGGCCCTCTGTCCCCAGCCAGGCTGGATGCACGGTGGCGGGAGTGGGAAAGGGCCAGGACTCGAGGCCCCTCTGCAGAGCTGGCGGAGGGTCTGAGGACTCCAGCCAGAGATGTCTGGGCACCTACCCGCTGGACACAGCCGGCATGGGTTTGCCCGTCCTGGAGTTCAGGCTAAACGCTCCTATCCTGTGCGGAGAGGAAGAGAGCAGGTCGTGAGCCAAGCTCCCTGTCCTGAGAGGCCAGAGCAATGGCTTCTGGATTCGTGGAGACAGGTTTCTGTCCTGGATCATACATCAAGGTAGGACCAAAAGGCACAGGTCTTCTCCCAAAACCTGGTTGTAAAGTCCTGGGTGACGCTACCTCAGGGGTTCTCAAAGTGGGGTTCCGGGCCAGCAGCATCTGTACCGCCTGGGAATGTGCTAGAAAGGCCCCACCGTCTTTGTTTACCAAGCCCTCCAGGGGGTGTGAGGCCCCTGCAGCCTGAGAACCACTGCGCACCTCTCTGAGCCTCGGGCCCAGGCTGCGGAGGGGGAAGTGCGGAGGGATCCCACGGGGTCACAGAAGCAACGCTGTCTGGCCCAGAACAGAGGCCTGGTGATCGGAGCTGCCCACAGGCCGGGCCAAGACAACCCCTGCCCTTAGGCACTGGGCCCTTCGGTGGACAGAAGAGGTCCCCTCCTCCAGCAACACCGAACATCTCCCAGCCCCACGGTTTAGATCTGCTTCTCCTGAAGGCACAGCTCCCCAGGCCCACCTACTCAGGTCTCCCTCAATCTCCCCAAGGCGCGCCCTTCACCTGAGGTGGACCAGGTGACAGCGGATAGAAACCTGACGCAAGTGACTCATGGGCTTTTGACCCGGGCAGTTGGGAGTTGAGAGGGGCAGACGCACACTCACTCCTGGGTTCCCACATTCTATAAGCGTCAGAGCCCCCCTAACCTGAGTTTGCTCCCTGTTTTCAACAAATGATAGCTGTTATCATTATTTTCTGTGAGCCCAGAGGAGGTGACCTTTTGGGGGACAGGGAGGCCTTTCTGGGGGCCCTGAAGTTACCCACAGTTACTGGGGAGTCAGAGACAGGGCCTTGGAGAGAGACCCCCCGCCCCCCGCACACACACTCATAATAACAGCTTCTGCAATTACTGATCATGTGAGGGGACAGCAGCCAGTGTGGACTTGGCAGAAGCAAGTTGGGGCTGATGCCCCGCCCAGCCTGATCCCCCTCTCCTGCCCACCCTGCCCATGACCTGGGTGCTTATGCCAGTTTTCAGGCCTCTCTTGCCTGGGCTCGGCTCCTGGCGTTTCCTGAGAAATGGGGACAAGAGAGGTCACCCCCACCACCTGGCCACCCTCAGACTGCGCCATGAGAAGCCTTGGGTCTCCATCCCAGAGCCTGCTCAGAATAACGGCTTCCCCCTGCAAACACTAAGACCCTTTAATGCAGGCCGTCCCGTCAGGGGCAGCGTGAGATAGGGAGGGCCTCACCGTACCCAGCTCCGGCCCACACCGAGGGTGGACAATCTGAGGACATGCTATGTGAGTAGAACCCTCCAATCAAACAAACCCCAGCTCTCCCACTTCCTAGCTGTGTGGCCTTGGACAAGTTACTTCCCCTCTCTGGGCTTGGGTTCTTCCCCTCTACGAGGAAAGGGCTGGGGGACTAGATAGCATCCCAGGGCCGTCCTAGCAATATGGGGCTCTAATAACCAGCTGGGGTTCCTCCAAGGTAACTAGTCAAAAGCCCTGCAAGGGGAGGGCCCATGGGGTATCTTACTCCTCGCCCCTTCTCGCAGCCTGCCCTCCGCAGGGCTGGGCAGGAAGTTGGCCCATCACTGAAGAAGGAACCCAGACAGGCCCACTCTCCTCTACACTTACGTGAGGGGCTTCTCCAGGCGGCTCCCGGGGGACCCCACAATCTCTCCGAGGGTGCAGAAGGCCTGGCCCAGGAAATCCTGCACATTGGGGTACAGAAAAGACCAGTGTCGCCCACTCTGCTCACAGCCATCCAGCACCCCTTCCCCGCCGCCCCCCGGAAGTGTGATGGCTCTGAAACGACAGGACCCGCATCGGACCCACACACTCTGTCACAGGGAAGCAGGACTGGCTCGGACTGGCATTTAAGAGACTTGTAGAATCGCTGGACATTGACAGGTGGGACTCACGTGTTTGGATAAGTCAGGGCTCTTCGAGTCAACGTCGTATCTGCAGAAAACACAGAGGTGGTGAAGGGGTCCTGCCCAACCCGGTCCCAGTCAGGACTCCTGCGCCCAAAACACGGGCTCTGATCCCAGGAAAGCTTGGACGGGGGAGAGGCCAATGGGGTCCTCCCTGTCACCTGGGGAGAAAAGGGCTGCCAGAGCTGGAGCTAGACTTGTCCCCAAGATCTCTCCTCAACCCCCCGTATCCCCGCCAGGTCAGGTGGCTGCTCAGTGCCTCCCACTTAACAGAACAATGGGGGTGCTTTGTCCCCTCTCCCACCTCCCTTCCTCTCCCGATGAGGCTGGACTCCAGCTAATAGTCACCTTTATCCCAGGCCAACCCGGGCTTCCTCTAACACCACTGCCCCCCTTCCCTGGAAAGGGGACCCCCTGTCGGACCATAGGTCCTGCGGCCCCACCTTCCAACACCGCTTCCTCCCCAGCTCCATCCTCGGCACCAGCTTCCACTTACAGGTCGAAACGGAGGTTCTGCTTCTCCTCGAAGAAGTAATCCACAATGAATTTGCGCACGAAGTCGGGGTTGAGAGTGTTGTCGATGACCTCGGTGCGTCCGTACTGCAAGAGGAGACGGGGCGTGGACCTCGGGGCCAGGCTGGCGGCGCAGGTCCCACCCTCCTTCCCTGGCGGATTCCGGTTAGGTGTGTCCTTATTTGACGCCCCCATGTAAGTGCAAGGGCAGAGACAGGGACAGTGGGGTCAGGTCCCGCCTCCTGGCATCCACGCCCTTGCGCAATCCCTCCCCTTGAATGTGGGCTGGACCTCATGGCTCACTTCTAATGAACAGACTAGAGTACAGGTCACTTCCAAGTGACCAGGTCACTTCCAAGATTATGTTATAAAGGACTATGACTTCCGTCTTGGGCACCCTCTTCTCTCTAGCTGGCTCACCTTGATGAAGGCAGCTGCTGTGTTGTGAGCTGCCCTATGGAGAGGCCCATGTGATAAGGAACTAAGGACGCCAACCCACCCCTAAGAATCGGAATCCTACCAACAACCACTGACAACTTAGACGTGGACCCTGCCCCAGCTGAACCTGGTGATGATCGAGGCTCTGGCCAACACCCTCGACTATGGCCTTGTGAGGTAGGGGATCCCACAAAGCTGCCTCCAGATTCATGACCCTATTGTTTCAGTGGCTAAACCCTGGGCTAGTTTGTTACGCGGCGGTAGATAACTAATACACAGACTTGACTTTCTTGGTATCCCCTGCAGCATATATTCTAGAATTTTTCACACATTAGACACTCAATAATTGAACCCCCTTAAACTCCCCCAAATGACGTAGGGAATTCACTTCCCGTTTCTGGGCATCTGAATCACTTGGAGGGTTTGTTAAAACAAGAGTCAGGCCTCACTCCCAGAGGTTCCGATTCAATCGGCTTAGGGTGGTGCCTGAGAATCTGCATTTCTAAAAAACGCAGCTGATGCTGCCCCTGCTGGTGCAGGCACCGCCCTTTGAGAACCCTGGAGAGTGACACTGTGGTCCACGGGGCCCTGAGTTCCCAGGAGTCTCCCAGGCCTGGGAGGCGGGCGGTGTGGGCTGACCCCAGGCCACCAATTCCATCAAAGCAGCTCTTTTACATCTGCTCAGTCACTGGACATTTTTTGTGAGATTTCGTTTCAAAAAGGGTCATGGATAAAGATAAAGTGTGTGAGCCCCATACTCTACCCTCCACGACAGGAGGGCACAATATTCTCCAAAGTACACAGCATGGGCTGACCCCAGGCCACCAATTCCATCAAAGCAGCTCTTACGTCTGCTCAGTCACTGGACATTTTTTGTGAGATTTTGTTTCAAAAAGGGACATGGATAAAGATTAAGCGCAGGAGCCCCATACTCTACCCTCCACAACAGGAGGGCACAATATTCTCCAAAGTACACAGTGGGCAGATGCACAATAAATATTTTAAATAGCTTGTTAATCTTTCTTAACATATAAACTTGTTGTTAGACTTGGGCAGTAATTACCAAAATACAAAAATCAATCCTGAGTACTCGTCCTCCTTGATGGGGCTCTGCCACCCAGAAAAATGCCAGCACGGGGGCCCCTCTCACGTGTGGTGGGCAAGGTCCCCGTTATCGGGGCAGAGCCTAGTGTCCCCTTCTACCCTGAGAGGAGTTAGAAACCTGCAAAGAGAACCGCCCCTCAAGGCAGGGTGGGCCCTCTGAGGGGCACTAGATTGGCAGTTTTGTCCCTAAGTCTAACCACTCTCCTGTCCTGTCAATCCCATCAGCTAACTCTCCTGTGCTGTGGCCGTGGACAGGACTCGCCGTTTCTCATCTTGACCACTGCCTCCTCGTTGGTCACCATGGGGGCCAATGGCTGAAGTTTGAAGACTCAACTCCCGGAAGTCCTGCTCTCCAACTCCCACCCCTCCCCTCCGCTCCCATGATCTTCCTCACGTCCCTATCGCTGCACTCACCACATCCCCTGACAATAATCTACTGAGGCTCTTTCCACCCCTATGTCCGGGGTCACACAGCTAATGATCGCTGTCTTCAAGGCGCGAGCCCAGGCCTTCTGGACATCTCTCTGAGCCACGTTGCGCTACAGGGGCAAGGGCAGCAGGAGCACACAGTAGGCACTCAGGAATTGTTGAATGAAGTGAGGCTGAGTGAGGAAATGGATGAGTGGGCTTGAGTCCTGACTTCATCATAAGCTAATTGTGTGACTTGATCAGAGCCTTTGAGAGCCTGTTTCCTCAGCAGAAGATGGAGAATACTACTTGTCTTGCTTCCTTCTTAAAGTTATCCGATCAATTCAGTTATTAATTGAATGAACAGCTGTGAAGCACTTGTTATGGGCCAGGCAGTGTGCTGGGTGCTGAGCTACAAACGTAAACGGAACGTGAACCCTGTACCTAGGGGCTTCTCTGTCACTGGTGGGACGACTCATAAACAAACACCTGCAATACAGAGCGCTAACGGTGCCAACCGCTGCATACAGGGCCGACGGCAGGTCCTCCCCTGCGGCTGCACATGAGAATCGCTGGGGACGTGTGAGATATGGAAACGTGCGGAAAAGCAGATTCCTGGGTGCTCCTCGCCACACACTAGTCCAGTTGTCTGACTTCACAGAGGTCCGCACCTTCCATCATCTATGAGATGCCTTACAGCTCTGTGAATTGTGGAAGGCGTAGAGCAGTGGTTCTCAACCTTGGCTGCACATTAGAATCACCTGGGAATCTTTTTAAAATCCTGATTTCTGGGCCTCATCCTCCGGAAATTCTGTTTCTTTGTTATGGGGTGGGGCCACAACATTAGTAACAAAGAAACAGAATTTCCGGAGGATGAGGCCCAGAAATCAGGATTTTAAAAAGATTCCCAGGTGATTCTAATGTGCAGCCAAGGTTGAGAACCACTGGCGTGGAGTAATGCAAATGATTCTTGTCCGAAGAAAAACAAATAAATGTAGTAAAGTGGTATGCAACTGCTTATTTGATTATTACCCTCTGGCTATTGACCAGCTTTGCATGTATTTATAAATTCTTTTCAGCATTCCTGATTGGCCATATGTGTGTGTTATTTGAATTACAGTAAGTCCTCACTTAACGTCATTGGTGGGTCCTGTGACTTTAAGAGAAGTGATGTATAATGAAACTAATTTTACCACAGGCTAATGGGTGTAAACAAGAGTTACGTTCCCATGGCACCTCATCAAAATTATCACAAAATGACATTGAAAAGGGACCTCAGTTGAGGACCTGCTGTATTTGAACTAGTTGTAACTCTTACTGGTTCCCTCATTAATTAACAAGTTAAATCTTTGCCATGTGTTCATTTTATATTTGTATGGGATTAATGATTTTACTTTTTAAAAATGTATCCTTTAATAGGAGCTTTTTAAAAACACCCATACTCAACCCCCCACCCCCCCAGACCGATTAAACCCAGATCTCCATGGGCGGGGCCTGAATGACTGTTTTTCAAAGTTTCCTAGGTGATTCTAATGTGCAGATGGAGCTGAGACCCAGTGCGGGAGGAAGAAAACGAACATTTACTGAGCCCCCACGGAAGCTCCGTAGACAAGCAGGTCATCATCCTATTTGGTTCTCACAAAGACCCTGAGTTATTACCCACTGTACAAGTGAGGAAACGGAGACACAGAGAGGTCTAGTGACTTGCCCAAGTCCACCCACACAGGCAGAGCTGGGATCGAAACCCAGGTATGTCTAGCTCCAAAGGCCATTACACAGGGGTGGGCAAAAGTAGGTTTACAGTTGCGAGTCCATGAAACAGTTTATTGTTGTACGATTATTTATAAATTATTGTATCATTTTCTACAGGAACAACTGTAAACCTACTTAGGCCCACCCCTGTGTTTTTTTTTATTTCATCTAACTGGCCGGAGCCTTTAAGCATTATAAAAATCAAAGATGAGTTTTACTTCATAGGCATTTACAGAAGCACCACTGTGGACAAGGCAACCGGGAGGACTTTGAGTTGAATAAGACTGGGTTCCTGCCCCATCGCCTAAATTCAATCTAAATCTTATCATGTCTGACCCTTGTTCCAAAAGAGTTCCTGCATTTGCCTCTCCTGCTCTTTCTAATTCTTCATACCTCCTGTCTTCAGACAAAAGGAAAATTTCTCCTAAAGGCAGAATCTTCCAGGTAAACACCCCGTTTCAAGAGAATCCTCCGTTAAACTGGGCCATTCCTCTCCTTCAGTGCATTGCCTCCTCCCTCAGACACCTGTAACCCCCCACCCCCACCCACCCTCCCCGCAAGCAGGACTCTGGATACAGCCCAGTGCAGACGGAGCCAGCATTCTTTGTGCACCCGTCTCTCCGCCAGCAAGGAAAACACCCATTAGGGGAGATGACAGCTGCTTTTAAAATGGCACTTGAAGCTGCAATAGAGGGGAATTCCCTGGAGATGGATCTGCTGCTGGAGAAGAAAATGGAGTTCCCCTGGAAACAGGACAGGGAGGGGGACTCCGAGGGCCCCCATGTCTCCTAGAGCGGGAAAGGGGGTGGTGAGCCGGGCCGGGCAGTGATGAATTACCAGGACGCAGGGGTAATTAACATGTGCACTGGCACAAAGGCCTGTGCAGCCTACAACCCAGGGACTTACTAAAGATGGTTTACAGCTTTCATTACTTGAGCTAATAACAAAGGAAATACATGCGGAAACTTGGATTTTTAAAATTCCAGGAAGCCACCGGGTCCCTGTCAGGCCCAATTTACACCCCTATTAATGCTGGTAGGAACACAACTGAACTGATGTTAAAAAAAAAAAAAAATCAATGCGGCTTATTTCATCCTACACAGAAGTGTTGAGTTTTCCAGCAGGAAGGGCTCGGAGCAAGGAGGTGTTAGCAGTGGGGAGCACACAAAGGCATGTGATCTGTGTACTTGGAAAGGAGGGGCCGGTGGGTGAACCCCTCGCCACCTGTGAGCAGAGCCGAGCTAGCCCGGAACACTCCCAGCTCCTCAGAAACACCCGTCGCTCCTCCCGGTCCTTTCTGAGCCCCTCTGTCCACACTCCGGGGTCTGAGGATATGAGGGGCCTCACACGGCTCACAGTCTGGGGCACAGGCCACCAAACCCGTA